TGGGAGGAGCAAGTCTCTGAATGGCACAATGTTGTGAGGAAATAAGTACATTGTCCTAATGTTAAGACTATGATGAAAAGACCTGAGAAGCTGCCCTCACCTGAGAGGGCGAGGCTCTGAGAACTTTGGAGGAGGTGGTCTGTTCTGTGGGCCAGTGATGCACTGACCAGCTCACGGACCCACATACTTGTGATGCCCTCAAGCTACTTCCCCTTCAGAACTAAGTGTAGACCTCCCACTCTTCATTTTCTTCTTCTTTTCTATCCTGTTATTCTTAATACTGTATCTAAGTCCAAGGAATTTTATTTTAAATCACAACTCGAAAACCTCTTATTTGAAGGCTACTTTTAATTTATTAATGAACCAGAGAAAACAGCAGAAAATGACTGTGAAAGGCCAAGAAGGACAGACAGGGGTTCATTCTGCCCCCACTCATGTGCTTGCCAGACTAGAGCCTTCCCGTGCCCCGTGGACGGTGCCCCGAGGCTAAGGGAAGGCTGGTCCTGCAGAGGGAGCACAGTGCTTCTCTGCTTCTGCGTCATGGGTGGGAAACTCTCCCCACCGCCTGCGGAAGGTTTCCCTCTGCAGGATCATAACCCTGCACATCTAAGAACTCAAGAACACAACCCTTGAACACCATTTTTCCAATTTGCAGCTATACTTTTTCACACCTTTGGATTTCATTGTGTTTGAAGCAGCACATTTAGAGACAGACTGCAAACCCAGCCCATTAGATCCTATTGTTCTTCTCTTCTATGCTGCTTAATCGTCTACATCCAGGTTTATATCTCTCACACCCAGAAGAGAAAATACAAAGACCTTACATTAGAATTTTCAGAAACATGTGAACATACTTCATCTCATTCGATCCTCACAACAGCCCTGTGAGGTAGGCAGGCAGGCATCGTGGTTCCAGGACACGGAGGACACAGTCGTAACTGGTGGAGCTGGGAACCGAATCCATATCCTCCGGCTCCTGGTCCAGGGCTCGTTCCACTCTGCAAGACGAACTGAGCTCACTGTGATGAGCGAAGCAGCCTTTCTGCTTAGAATAGTTGAAATGTCCTGTCGGGCTTGCAGACACAGGTGATTTTAAGTACAGACCTCGTCAGAGAGCTCAGAAGATAAACACACCTGGGCTAAGTTCGGCATCAGCATCAGAGGGACGAATGGACAGAACACGGACATCTTTGACAAGGGTTTCTGCTTAGCTACTTGATTCTCACCCGGACTGTGGCTGGGTGCCATAAGGTTAAAGCAGCAAAGTCCAGGAGGAAGGAAGGCATTCAAAGGACTTTCTCATCTAGCAACTTATTGATTCCTTCACAAATCCTCTTGAGGTTGGGCCGACAGTCTCCATCCAGGCGATAGAGGGTGGAGAGGAACTCCAGGTCGGCAAAGTGGTTGAAGACGTGGTTGATGCGCCCGTGGGTCCTGGGCGTCAGGTGTCGCTGCACCAGTTCGTGCACCAGGTCTTTGCACTCGTGCAGGAGCTTGGAGAGCACGTTCCTGTCGAAGGTGTACTCCACCTCATAGAAGCTGACGATGGTCATGGCCGTCTGGTTCAGCTTCTTCCGGAACTTCTCCACGATAACAACCTCCTCCTGGCTGAACTGGTTGTTCCGGTAGAGGATCCCAATTTTGATTGCCACCTTGATTAAGTCTTTCATAATCTTGTGGGCTTCCTTCTTGTTGTGGGTGTGCTCTTTGGTGACTTTGTAGAGCTCATCGAAGATCTCGCTGCTGGTGTCGTCAATCAACATGTTGGCCACGGTCTTGCTGGCTATCTTGCTCAGAATCTTCTTCTGGGCCTGAAGGGCAAGACTCTTTGAACTAAAAACATATTTCATACCCTCCTGCAAAGCATCTCTTGATGCTCCTGCTGGAGAGAGCCCATGGGGTGG